ATTTACGAAATTAAAAAGCTTTTAGTTGAACTGGAAGAAATACGCAGTATAGAGTTGCTTCCAATAAGCGATGAACGAGTTATAGCGATCCAGAAAGAGACTAAGGCCGATGTAACACTACAGCAGCTGGCGTACTTTGTGCTAAATGGGTGGCCAGATAAGAGGTCCAAAATTCCAAACTCCGTCAAGCCGTACTGGTGCTATCGCGAACAAATAACTTCGGAAAACGGGTTGCTTCACAAAAGCGACAGAATCATCGTCCCTGCGAAGCTGCGCGAAGACATATTACGCCGAGTTCATGCCAGTCATCAAGGTACTGAAGCAAGTTTGAAACTGGCCAAAGAGTCAATATGTTGGCCAAATATCAATGCCGATATTAAGAAGTGCATTGAAAGTTGTTAAACATGCATAAAATTTGACCAGTCGTCGAAAAAGTTGCCGATGCAATCACACGAAATACCGCAGATACCATTCAATCGAGTAGCAATGGATATTTTCGAAATAAATAACCCGGTCACCAACAGGAAATCAAAATACTTGGCCACTGTTGATTATTTCTCTGACTTCTTCGAGTTAGATGAGCTAAAAGGTATGTCATCGAAAGAAATAATTGAATGCTGCAAAAGAAATTTTTCAAGACATGGCATTCCAGAAATCATTGTATGCGATAACGGCACGCAACTAGTGAGCAAGGAAATTTTAAGCTTTTTTAAAAGTTGGGAAATAAAAGTGACAACATCCTCTCCAAGGTACGCGCAATCGAACGGCAAAGCAGAGTCAGCAGTTAAAATTGCAAAGCGCCTCATTAAGAAAGCTTTGGACAGTGGCGAGGACGTTTGGTTAGCCGTGCTCAACTATCGCAACACACCAAATGCGATTGGTTCAAGCCCAGCACAAAGGCTTATGTCACGCCGTCTCCGCTCGGCGATACCAGCGCATCCAAAAAAGCTCCTACCAGAAGCACAAAAGAACGTACATGACAGAATTATGCGAAAACGTCAAATAGCTAAATCGTACTACGATCGTAATGCTAAAACGCTGCCACACCTGGAGGGGGGAAAGAAGTTAACGTCAAGTTAAAGGACAACAACGCAACTGCAGAGCGGGATAAAATTCAAGAAAAATTTAACACTCGCTCTTACATCGTCAATGTGAAGGGAAGCTTGTATCGTCGCAACATTCAAGACATCAGTAAAGAGTTGCCGAGCGCAACTGAATGCGAAAAAATCACTAGTGCAGAAACTAGAGAACCGTCAGCCCCAGACAGTTTCGCAGCAGCAGCCTCCGAGCAAAGCGAAATCTGTATTGACGATGAAGACGAACGCGACAATCAACATCGTTTTAAACGCAACCGACGTTTGAGTTCAAAGTCAGCAGCTGAGCGACCAAAACGCAAACGTAACAAGCCTAATCGTTTTGGCTATGAATTAACACTCTCGCCATTTAATAATTTTTTTATTCTTTTTACCTAGTATTAACTTTGGGTCATGTTATACATTTACATACATATATAAATATTCATTTAACATATTTAATACAACTGAAGTCTGAAATATAGGTATATGCATACACCCGTAATAAAAAAAAATGTTTTGTTAAAGAAGGGAGATGTTACAGTATTAAGCAATTAATAAGTGTTATTGCTGTAAGCTCTAAAGCTTAAGCACTCTTAGCTCTCTCATTGTAAAACTGAATTAATAAAAGACACTCCTTGTTTGTCACTCGTAGAGTACGGTCGTTTCTATTGCAAGCGTTTCTTCTTAAAACACAGCGCTTCCACAATAAAGTGTTGCGATCAA